TCACTATCATATCCCCAATAATAAGAATGGTGACTGGTACATAGCAGGTACTAAAATTTTTTAATTTAATTAATTAATTAATTGCTATAATCAATAATAATAATGATAATACTTTATTAGTCACCCACCCTAGGAAGGGGACAGACAAGGGGTCCCAAGAGCTCCCAGCCCTAAGAACAACATTTCCATGGTTTTTCACCTATGTACCTCCAGCTTTGATCATTAGCAAAGATGGTTGGCAAAGGCGTATTTTATCTCTCATCTGACTTGGAAATCTGCTTCCCTTTTCACTTTAGCTTCTAGGAAGCTCAGAATCATATTTATCTCCTTTCAGATGCCAAATGACCTACTCTGTCTTCCCTTGCCTGGCTCAATCCCAAATGACCAAGTCTGACCTTCTGTCTTTCCTGCAGGCCTCTGCAACTTGTGTGGCAAGCAGCTGGGACACTTTCTACATCAACAAAGGAAGGCCTCTTCCCTGGAATGATTTAAAAATTCCAGGCATTCTCGTGACTTTTGCCACTTCCACATGCCTCCTGCATTATCATTCACTATTTGTGTTTACATAAATTCACATTTTTTTCTAATACTTAAATACATTCATTTCAAAAGGGAACTATATATAGCAATCATAAGTACACAGAAATATCTATAAACACAAAGTAACTAGAAATATCTATTCAAACAAAATAATTCAAACAAAAATTATTAAATTCTGGATAGACACTCTCGGTCCTGTGTGTTTTTGTCTTAGAAGAAATTAACTAATGTCATAAAGGTGATAAAGACACAGTAACACCACACTGAGACTTTCTCTTTGACTAGATCAGGACAGAATGAAAGGATAATGAAGTGGAATTACTGTGCAACCTTCATGCAAATCTGAGAAAACATCCCTATCTCTACCTCAAGACACTTTACACCACCTGCTGGGAATTTTTCACTTAAAAAAAAACAAGACTAGAAATGTGCAAAGTAACTAGCGTCCCGCAGGTGTACCCTTGTGCAGCGTGCAACCCGCCCAACCATCAGCAGCGGCTCGGTGTGTCACGTCATTTAACACTCCCTCCCAGGGCCCTGGCCAAAATACCCCTCACCCTTTGTAAACCTCGCTTTCAGGCCTGCAGGCAGCCCAGAAGGGTGGGAAGGGACCATGGCTTACGTGAGCTTTTATGCTCCCTTCTTCGCTGCCTCCTCCGCCCCATTGTGGTCCGGGGGCTCATGGGCTGGGCTCCACGAGGAAGAGTGCTGGGGTTGGCGCAGGGGAAGGCGTGGTTCATGGTCGGCGAGGAAAAGGGAGTCGAGGACAGGGCTGGGGAGATGAGGGCACAACCCCGTGAACCCTAGCCGGGCCCCTCAGCCCTGCCCCACAGTGGGTGCCAAGAAGCCACCCCAGTATAGGGAGACTTGGGGGTGCCTTCACCTTTTCACCTCAACTAACTTCTTGCTGTGTGACCTCAGAGAAGTCTCTTTCCTCCTCTGGGCCTCACCGACCTAGTGAAACCCGGCTGTCAGGGGCAGGGGCCCATCTCAGCCATCGACGTGCTGGAGGAGGATGGGTAGGCCCCCTGATTTCTCTGCATCTTGGGTTCCTCCCCTATAAAACAGGCACAACCCCCTCTCTGGGGAAAGGTGGGAGGGACTAGGTGAGCAACAGCATTCGGGCATGTTACATCGGCTCTGGTCCTGGCCGGCCGGCGTGGCCCAGGTGGGCGTCCTGCAGTGGCCGGGGGGCCGGGGGCTGTGGCAGGCAGGCAAGCAGGGATCCCAGCGATGTGACTGCTCGCTCCTCTGCATCTTCACTGTGACCAGGGAGTGAGAGGGGAGAGAGGTACAGGCGTCAGGCTGAGCCTGCTAGGGGTGTTCCCATCTGCGCTGTGAAGGGGGAAGCAGGGACCAGCAGAGACGAGTTTCCCCGGAGCCAGGCGAGGCATGAACATTCTGCTCACGTGTCCTGGTTACCTGGTATGTGCCGGCACCACGCTCAGGACACCAGCTGCAGCATCTTTCCTCAGCCACATGACAGTGGGGGGCAGAGGGGGCACCAGCCAAGGCCCATGGTAGGGATTTATTTGAGCCCAGGTAGCCTGGCTCCGGGGCCTGATCACTAGCTGGTCAGCTCTGAGGAGTGCAGTTGGCTGGTGCTTTCAGGTCTAGCTGAGGCCGCCCCATCCAGTGATAGCATGGCAGGCAGTGGTAGGGGACACCGGGCCTGGCCGTTTCTGCCTCACACTGGACTCTGAGGGGCAATCTCTGCTCCAGGGCCCCCTGCTGGGTCGGCTGAGGCTGGCTCAGACCTGGCTCCACCTGCCTGCTCCTGCTTCCTTGCCCTTGATCTTTCACAGGTCTCGCCCCCAATATGGAGCATAGTTCTACTCTGACACACATGGGGTCAAATGCCTAGTCGCACATGGAAGCTCGACTCAACGGCAACTGGTAACTGGTACTAGTACCCCCAGTAAACCCTGTGCACACCTACTCCATTTAAGCATCTACACCCCAGGAGACCCTGATGACCCTCTACAAGATTGTGCCTCCCCCACCAGATCCTGCAAACTGGCCACCATACCGCACCTCTGTCCAGATGGCCTGGCCCCTGTCCTAGCTTTGGGGGCTGGCCTGGTCCAATGCTCCTTGAATGGATGGGTGAGGACCCAAATACCTCAGCCCATTGGAACCTCCTGCTTAAATGCTTCTTGGGCTGGGGAGCTCTTTCCTGCTGTGAGCATTCCTCCCATCCCTCCTCCCTGTGCAATGCTCCCACCTCCCCGACTCTGGGGCACGGCAGACCCTGGAGCCAGCTGCCTGAGTCAAATCCTGGCTCCATCACTGACGATCTGTGAGACCTGGACAAGTCACTTAGCCTCTCTGTGCCTCATTGTTATTATCTGCAAAATGGGACTGAAATAGTAGCTGTCTCCTATGGTAACAGGGTGGATTAAAATGAGTTGATATAGATATCTAAAACGCCTAGAACAGGGCCTGGCATTTAGCAGACGCTCAGTAGGTGATAGTGAAGGGTATGGGGACCAGCTGTGTAACCTCGTAAAGCACGCACTTCTCTGTGCCTCAGCTTCCTCATCTGTAAAGTGGGATAGTAGTAATACTGACCCCACAGAGTTGTCGGAAGGATCAAACAAGATGACCTATGGAAAGCCCCCAGCTCCAAGCCCGGCCCAAATCAGGTGCTCAATAAATGGTACAAGAACGAACGGCGCTGTTTCCAGCCCCAGTGCCTCCTGTATCAGCCCTGGAGTTGTGGCTTAATGGGGCCTTTTCAGGTCCTGGCAGAGGCCACAGAGATGGACCTTTCCTGTCCCCCCACATCTGATCTGGGAGATGTCTTTCTCTTCCGGTAAGACTGGGTTTGCAAAGGGGGGGATGGGCAGCCCGACCACCCTGAGCGTAGGCCTGTGCTGAGCTCTTTCTGTCCATTCTCGCATTTAATCTTACAAGCACTCGGGGTCTTCATCCCATTTACAATTGACGTTCAGAGAGATGAAATCAGTTGTCCAGTGGCTGGGGGCAAAGCTGGGACTTGAACCCAAGGCCAGAGGATTGGGCTGCAGGAAGTGCTTCCCCCACTCTGACCTGGAAGCTGCCTTCTTTTGACTTCCCACCACCCTGCCCCAGACCCCAGCTCTGCCCTCCTGACTCCAGACCACCTGCTTCCTCTGCTCCTGGAACTGCCCGGCACCCAGCTTCTTGGAGGCTCCCTGCTCTAGGCTGACAGCCCTGGCTCCTCACAGAAGGGGCTCCAGGATCTCCCTGCCTGCTCAGCTGCCTCCTCTGGACCCACCAAGGGCCCACCAAGGGCCCCCAGCTCAGTCCAGGATCCAAGATCTGAGTATCACAGAGCACAGACAGTCTCCTCCCTCATTCTAGCCCTTATACTTCTATTAATGCAACTACCAATGTAACCAGCTTTGGGGGCATCCAGGACAGCAGACTGTCAACTGAAACCCTCAAGTTTTTCCTCTGGCCCATTACCCCTCCATTAGCAAGTGACAGTTTCAGCTTCCCTGTGTGACTGGCCATTTGTTCCAGTAAATTTTAGTCTGGTACCCCCAGCCTGCTCAGGGTTTAGATCCTGGGCCTCTCAGGCCCCATGCACCCCCTCCCCATCAGCCCTCAGGCCTGAGCCCCGAGACCCTCCCAGGGGACCCACCTGCCTCTGAGGGCTTCAGGGGCCGCCGACTTTGGGGTGCAGGCAGGATCTCCAGGCACACTTTCTCTGAGACGCTGGCCAGGAGTTTGGTGGCCTCGAGCAACGAGCAGTGCTCCGTGCTGGTGCCGTCAATGGACAGGATGTGGTCTCCAGCATGCAGTGCCCCACTCCTAGCCAGGCGGAGAGCAGAGGGGAAGGCTGAGCCAGGATGGACAGAACTCCGGCCGCCTCTCGGGCAGCCTCACACCCCCCGTGGCAACATGCCTGTGCCTCACCTGTCCACCACGCTGGCTGGCTTGATGCGGTCGATGGTGATGACCGGCTTGTTGCGGTGGGAGCATGTGGTGAGCGAGATGCCCAGGGTGGAGCCCGGCGTCTTGGAGATCTCCACCATCAAGGGCCCTGAGGCATTGGCCACTGTGTCTGGCACCACAGAAGGAGAGGAGAGCTTGAGATGCAAATATTGAGCGCCTTCCTCCCCAGCCTTACTCTGCCATCTCCATTTAACCTTCACTGACAAGGAGCGATTATTTCACCCATTTTACAGACAAGAAAGCTGAGTGTGGAGAGGTGAAGGCCTCATCCAAGTTCATCTGGCCAGCCAGCAACATAGGCAAGGCTGAGATGCAAGCCTGGGAGACTCTGATTCTAGGGCTGCGCTGGTGAATAATAATTAGCTAGCATTTATTGAGCACCTGCTGTATGCCAGGCACAAAACTATAGCACTCACTACAATCCTTCCCCATCTCAGAAAATGGTGCCACCATTAACTCAGCCAGTTGCTCAAACTCAAAGCCTTGGCGTCATCCTTAGCACCTCCCTCTCTCACCTGCCATGTCCAAGCTGCCAGTAAGTCAGGTCAACTCAATGTTCTCCATGTTTCCTGAATCCAACCCCTCCTCCCCACCTTCTCTGCACGCAGCCTGGGTCAGCCACCATCATCTTTCACTGGGATGGCTGCAGTTGCCTCCCATGGGTCTCCTGGCTGCAGCCTTCACCCCTCCCCTTCATTCTGATCTCCCCGTGGGTTTTAAGTCAGATCACTGACTGTAAGTTCAAGTCCTCACTGAGGCCCACAAGGCCTGGAGGGTCTGGCCCCGAGACTGCTCTGCCCTCACCTCCTCCCACTCTCCTGTCGCTCATCTGTTCCAGCCACAGCAGCCCCCATGCTGCTCCTCAAACATGCCCACCAGGCTCCTGCCTCAGGGCCTTTGTACTTGCTGTTCCCTCTGCCTGGAATGCTCTTCCTGCAGATGTCCACATAACTCAACTCCCTCACTCCTCTAGCTAATAAAGAGCCTTTGTCTCTCTCCCTGCTATCTGACACACTCTTATTTTCCCAGCCTTTCCCGTCTCTTTCCCTGCCATCTGACACACTCTATTTTACTGATTTTGTTGACGGTCCACCTCTGCCACCAGAATGTCAGCTTCTGGAGAACAGAGATCTCATCTGCATTGTTCAAGGCTGGGCCCCCAGTGCATCCAGCAATGCCTGGCACATAGTATTCACTGCTCAGAGGCCAGAGAGGTGCCCAAGGCCACACAGCCTTTGTGGTGGTAAGGATCTGGGCCCACTGCTCCCCCCACCCTGCCCCCAGGCCACTTCCACCCCAGCCCTCACCCTTGGGCCCACTCACCAGGGGTGGCCACGTCATACTCCACCTGGAAGAGGGCCTCGTGGCTGCACTGCCGGAGGGTGGCCAGGGCAGCAGCATGGCTGGCCCCATGCAGAGGGACACCGTCGATGCTGAGCAGCCGGTCACCTGCCTTCAAGGAACCCTCCCTGCAAGGAAGGGCCACGCACACTCAGAGGCACTGAGCAGGTGGGACACAGAGGACAAGCGCAGGGCGGGAGTGGGTGAATGCAGGAGTGAGCAACTCAGTGAGTGGATGAATGAATGAAGTGGGAAGTCAAGCCCTGTTCGGGGAGACTTGACACCTACCCACCCGATGCCTGGTCCAGATGCAGACTTCATCCCAGCCCAGCCCTCAAATATCTGAGCTGGGGGTGCCTTTCAAGGTCACCCCCACCCTCCTGTCCTGGGGGAAGAGGAGACTGCCAGGGCCCAGAGGGGATGCCAGCCCACCAGGCCACATGGCTTCAGGGGCAGCCACCCCTCTTCAGTCCTGGTTTATCGGCAGCAACTCTGGCCTGGTGACAAACAAGCGTGGGAGAGAATTCAGCAAAGACCCCAGGGGAGCAGCCTCAGCTGGGGTTCACCTCGGTTTAGGTCACATCCCTGCCCAGAACGCATGCTCCAACAGGTGGCCAAAGCTAATCTGGGAGATTCTATGAATAGCTCATCACCGGGCCCTGTCCCAAGGACAGATTTAGATTTCCAACAAGGTCATTCCTGGCTTCGCTTAAAATGGCCAGGAATCTCCCGCTTGGAAGGCCAGGGGTCAGGGCTGGGCACTGGCCATGTTCCTTCCTACATTCTCTCCTCCTGGCCCCTCTGGGCCAGGCCCAGGCAGGGCAGGCCTGTGCAGTGCAGCCAGGACTCAGGAGGCTGGGTTACGGACAGCGACAGTGATGGCGGATAACCTACCCCCAAATCTCTCACAGCAACTCTTAGGGGCTGCAGTTTCGGACCCATTTCAAAGACGGGAAAAACTAAGGCCCAAGGAATGGAGGAGCAACACCAAGCCTCGCTCCCTGCCCCTTACCCCTGTGACAGTAGGATGTCGGGGAAGAAAGAGCTTGGTGTCTGTCTCATTTAGGGTTTAGTCCTAGTTCCACCAACAATTCCCTGAGTGACTCTGGGCAAGGGTGTCCCCTCTCTGGGCCTAAGTCATTTATCTGGGGAATGGGCACAATGCCCCACCCCCTGCTCTGCCCTCTTCACAGAGGTGTTGTTTTTTACGGGTAAGGGGGTCAGTGCAAAGATGTGAGGTTTCCTCAGGCCCAGGGCTTACCTGTCAGCTGGGCCACCCGGCCGCACATAGGTCAGGACAAGCGGGCGGGACTTGTGTCCCTCTTCATGGGCCCCTCCTAAACAGAATTCAACAAGAGGCAGGAATCGTCTATCCCATCCCCTTCCCTGATGCCTGGAAGCCCTGACCCAGCCCTGAGCGGGCTCTCTCAATAAAACCTGCTTAAGGACCTTGTCCTTGCTATCCACAGACCCTCTGAGGAGAGACTGAGACCCCAACTGCAAACTGGTAATGGGGGGAGGGGGAGGGATCCTACCCAAACTCCTCTCTATTAGATGGCTTGCCTCCCTTCCTGTGGTTTCATCCTATTTCCCTTTGGTCCTGGCTGCTAAGTAGCTCCAAACTTTGTTCTCAGTCTCTCAGTAGTGGCTTTCATCATTATTTTCTTGTACAACTATCTCCCCTCAGTCCCCACCCCCACCCCCACATTTCATCACTTGGCAAATGTTTCCATCAACATTTGACTTCATGGTCCCAGGTCCTCTGAAGTCATATGCAAGATATAAGAAATTACATTTGTTAAAGCAAAACAGAGCACAAATGGAATTAGTGTTAGCCTCCTTCCTGCCCCCGACCCCTGACCCCAAGGGTGAGTCTTACACTGACCTCTGAGGACAAAGCCAAAGCTATTGCCCTCCTTGTAGAGGGAGACGTCCACTGTCTTTGAAATGATCCCTGGGTTGTTCTCGGAGGCTGGAGAGGAATGGAGAAGGACTGCTTGAGTCCCTCAGTCACTTATCCATGCCAGCAAATGTCCCAAATGCCCATTCCAGGAGGGTTGAGTGGCCAGTTACAGAGATCACACAGAGGGTAAACCTTTTCTCATTTCATAGATAGGAAAAGTGAGGCTTGGAGAGGCCCTCTTCCCCAATACCCACCTAGTCTACCAGTTAGAGAGACAATGGCAGAACTCAGGCTTGAGTCCACGGCTAGCTCAGGCTCAGGCCAGTGTTCAATTCCAGACAGATTAATTAAATTTCAAGACTTTAGACCGAAAAGTCAGAGCACAGTACTCAGTGCAGGGTGGTGGAGTGGGAAGAGCAGTAGAGCAGGGAACAATCTATTTAACCAACTTTCCTTCCTAAAGGAAAACCTCCCCGCTGAAGTAAAGGCATCTGGAAACTAAATATAAAAACGGCAATGGGTTATAAACAGGACCCCACCACTTCCTGGTGACAGCGTACCGTAGGTGCAGGCCAAGCCCCCAGGAGAAGCATGGATGTTTGTGGCCAGTCTCCCAGTCCCACCCACTGCATCCGGCAGGATCCCCCACCACCCAAGCCCTGGTGGGGAGGCAGCTGTGTCCACCCACAACCGAGGCAGTGGAGAGAGTATCCCGTCCAAGGGCACCCACCAGGCGGGGGCAGCTCATACTCCACCTCCAGCACCACGCGCTCGCCCACGTTCTTGAGCAGGGTGATGATCTCATCATGGCGGAGCCTTGTCAAGTGGATCCCGTTCACTGACAGAATGTAGTCACCCACGTTCAGCAGATCACTCCTGGGAGCAGGGATGGCAGAGCACACACGAAGTAACAGGGACGGCTCACGTGCCTGCGTGGTGCTGGCATCCACACCCACCTCCCATTAATCATTAGAACCTTTGGATCCCCATTTTACAGATGGGGAAACTGAGGCTCAGAGAGGATTCTAACCTAGATCTGTGTGACACCCAGGCCTGCCTTTCCACTGAGGCTGGTCTGTCTGCTTGTCTTGGCGCTGTGGTATCAGATGAGCCCACGAAGTAGACAGATCATTTCCCTCCTTTTTCACTACTAATCTTCCATTCTGTTCAACTGGACATTTATCAGGCCCTGTGCCAGTGCCCACAGAGGAAGCAATGGAGAGACTAACTCCAAGACCCCAAGAAGGTCACAGTCTAAGGGAGCAGGAGAGGGAAAATGACCAGGATACTCCAGGCTATGTGTGCAGAAGTGTGACACAGGGCTCCCCAAAGCAGAGAAGAGCAGCTACCTAGGGTCAGGGAGGGCTTCTCAGAGGTGGTGGCTTCTGTGTTGAGTTTGGAGGGTTGAATAGGAGTTTGCCGGGAAAATACTATAGGGAACAGTCATCCCAGGCAGAGGGAAGTGCATATGCAAAGGCCTGGAGGGCACTACATAGCCTGATGAGCGCGGGCACTGTGGCCAGGTCAGGCTCTGGTGGAAACGGAAAGAGAAGAAGCTGGGGAGGCCAGAGTTATAGCCTCCACTGGAGGCATTTCCTGTCTGGACACCAAGCTCTTGGGTGCTCCTGGAAACAGCTACCTAATCGTTTGCCTAAGGTCCTAGTACGTTTCCACGGGCCCTGGGCCCCTGTGATTGCCTCCTCATCCCCTTCCTGCTGCCCCTGCCAAGCCCCATTCTCACCTGGCTGCGAGCCCTCCAGGTCTCAGGTTGGAGACCCTGGGCTTCCCATCCTTGTCAGTGCCCCCTGAGATGGTCAGGCCCAGTGTGCTGCCTTCTTTCTTGATCAGCTCCACCATGGTGATCCCTCGGAACTCCTCTGCCGGTAGATAAGGGGGCTGAGCAGGCAGCATGAGAGCAATCTGGGCTCACACTTGGTAAGCAGAGCACTTTACTGCATTATACTGGGTGACATCACCTCCTTTTTACAGACAAGGGTTAGAGAGGTGAAATGACTTGTCTAAGGTCACAGGGTGAGCTGGCAGCAGAGCCGACACTGTCTGACACACCCAGGGCTCTCTGCCCAAAGAAAGAGGGAAGGAGAGCCTGCTTACCTGGAATGCTCTGTCTGCGGCACACCAGGGCCATGTCGGCACCTCCTGCGTCCTTGCCTCCTTTGGAGTAAGGCCCATCATCTGCAGAGGAGAAAGGGAAAAGAGCTCCTGAGCCCAGGTTTCATTTTCATCCAGGCAAACCCCTTCTGCCGGGACACTCACCACCTCATGGATGTGTCCAATCAAAGGGGTTCCTTCCTGCCCCAGCCCCACCTGATTCTCTGCTGGGGAATCCTCATGGCTTCTTCTCCCAGGGCAGGCTAGGTCCCTTCTCTTGGGCTGAATAACATTCTTTTGAGCACCTACTATGTGCTAGGAGCTTCACAGACATTCTGTGGTCAACCATTTTGACACCCCCCTGGGTGGTATTATTATTACGGGTAGTAGGATTCCCCTGTACACATAAGGAAACTGAGGCTCAGAGATGGACAGTGTATACCGATGGTCACACAGCTGATTAGTTGTACAATCTGGATTAGAACCCAGGTCGGCCAACTCCACCACCCAGGGTTGTGCTTGCACACCTCCCTCACATGCAGGCAGCCACTTCAGTGTAAGACTGCTGTAAGCGAACGCCAACTGGTGTGGTCCTGATTAACAGGAGTGATTAATGAGGAGTGTACTTTACAGTCTACAGGCGACATTCTCAGACATTCTAGGCAGCCCGAGATAAGTCTGTCTCGCTTAGCTTTAATTCAAGAAAGTGCTCTCCCGTTATTTCTTCAAATATTGTTTCCCTCATTCTCCCTCTTTTGAAATGCTTAATAGATGCATGTTGGGCCTTTCCACATTTTCCTCCATCACTCGTAACCTTTCATATTTCCTATCTGTTTATTTCTCTGGGATGTGTCTAATCTGCAATTAAACCTGTCTTTCTTTTTTTTTAACTTATTATGAAAAATTTTCATACACTGCAAACATAAGGAAAGTAGAATAAGTATAATGTAGAAGTTTCCAAAGCATGGGCCCCGGACTAGCAGCATCAGTATTATCAGGAAACTTATCAGAAATGTAAATTCTTGGGCCCTATCTACTGAATTAGAAATTTTAGGGGGCAAGATCCAGCAATCTGTGTGTGTTTTAGTACACTAACTTAGAATACTTTTCTCCATTTTTAAATTTATACACAGTAAAATTCACTCTTTGTGAAGAACTATGAGTTCTGGAAAATGTCTCCTAACCATCACCACCACCATTATGTTTTGGAACATTTCCATCACTCCTCCACCCCAAATTCTCTCCAGCATCCCCTTTGTAGTCAGCCCTTCCATCTGTCCTCAGCCTCTGGCAAACTCTGATCTCTTTTTCAGTCTCTGTAACTTTACCTTCTCCAGAATGACATATAAGTGGAATCACACAGAAAGTCGGCTTTTGAGTCTAATTTCTCTCACTTAGCATAATCATTTGAGATTCATCTGCGTTGCTGTGTGTGTTGGTAGCTCGTTTTTTATTGCCGAAGTAGTATTCCATTATATTGATGTACCACAATTTGTCTATCTATTCACCAGATGAAAGACATTTTGTTTTTATCCAGTTTTTGGAGATTTTTGAAGACAGCCATTATAAACGTTACTGTATAGGTTTTTGGTTAAATATGTTTTTCATTTCATTTCCTACTACCCAGGAGTAGGATTGCTGGATCATAGGGTAAAACAAAAACAAAAACCAGTTGCCATAGAGTTGATTCCAACTCATGGCAACCCTCAGTGTGTCAGAGTAGAACTCTGCACGATAGAGTTTTCAATGGCTGATTTTTTGGAAGTAGATCTTCAGGCCTTTCTTCTGAGGATCCTCTGGGTGGATTCAAAGCTCCAACCTTTCAGTTAGCAGCAGAGCCCATTAACCATTTGCACCATCCAGGGACTCCTAGATATGTTTAGCTTTAAAAGAAACTGCAAACTGTCTTTCAAAGTGGCCACACCGCTTTGCACTCTCACCAGCAATGTAAGAGAGTTCCAGTTGCTTCACATCCTTATCAGCACTTGGTAATGTCAGTTTTCACTTGTGTTTGCCTAATAACAAATGATGCTGAGCACTCTTCAGGTGCTTATTTGCCATCTATATGCATCTTCTTTGGTGAAGTGTCTGTTCAAAGTGTTTGCCTATGTTTAAATTTTCTTTATTATTTAATTTTTATATATTCTGGATACAAGTCCTTTGCCAGATATAATAATCTGTGTTTTGAAAGGCTCCCGAGGTGATTTTGTGTCACTAAAGTTATGCAAATTTACCCAATATCTAGTTTTAACGGTTATTAACACTTTGCCATATTTACTCCATTTATTTTCTTCTATGTTGCAATATTTGGAAACCAATCCTGGACATAATGAAATTTCACCTCTAAGTATTTCAGTATGCATCGCTAAGAAAATGGGAACATAATTCTTCCATAACAAAAATACCATTACTGCATCTTACAAAATTAAAGTAATTCTTTATTAACCTAATACCCATTCCATGCTCAAATATACCATTACCACACCTTACAAATTAAAATAATTCCTTAATTTTTAATCTAATACCCACTCCATATTCAAATTTCCCCAATGAGTTCTTAATTTCCATGAGTACATTTTTTGTGTTTGGAAGCTTTGTTTGTTCTTTTGCTTGTTTGTTGTATTTTCATGTCTTGCTCTTTTTCTTTTTGCTCCTTATATGTCTCTAATCATTTTAAATATTTTAAACATTCACATATTATTCTCTTTTCTATTATCTCAAACTCTTAAGAGGTATTTCTACTGTTTGGAGTGTCTAATGACTCTCCCTCATGGCGGATTGTTACCTCACGTGTTTGGTAATTTTTGGATTGTGAGCTCACCTTTAGTGGAGTTTTTCCTGTGGGAATCCTATTCAGCCTGGTTGAGGGCATGTCTCTCCAGAGTCCAGAGATTTTGTAATTCCTCTCCCTAGGTGCCTGACAATGCTTACGTTACTTTATTGGTTCAAGGATCCCAGAACCATGGGAGTAGTATGAATTCTAACCTTCAACAAGAAACAAAGGGCACACTTTGGATCACAAATTCTCAAAGGAGACCACCCAAAACCAAATCGAGACAGACAAGCTTTTGTTTTACCTTCCTGGTAGATGGGTAGATATTTTCCTAGCTCCCCCTTTCACTGAGGGTAGATCTCTTTCTTGTTTGTTTATTTGAAAATGTCTAAATTTAATTTTAATTTTTGAAAGACATATTTGCTGAGTGTTGAATCTAGATTGGCATTGTGTATATCTCTTTAAAGGTCCTGGCTTTATGCTGCGGTGTCAGTTCCAACTAGGGAAGGTACAATACCCCTGAGCCATTAAAACCCAAGCCATTCGTTACCAGACCAGCAGACACCCTAATTCCTGTCACCCCTCCTAGAGGGAAGCCTCACCAACAGCTTACACTGATCTTGCTGGTTTTCAGTTTTCTCTTCAGTTTTACATTGGAAATGCATTGAATTGATAAATCAATTTGTGGAGATCTGACATCTTCACAATATTGAGTCTTCCAATAAATGAACATAGTCTATTCTTCCATTTATTCTTGTATTTTTATGGATAAAGCTCTTGCACTTCTTTCATTAAAGCTATTCTTAGATATTTGAAGTGTTTTAATGCTATTGTAGATTGTATTATTTTTCCAAATATCATCTTCTAATTATTTGTTGCTGATACGTAACAGTAAAATTGATTTTACATTCTGACCATGTTAAATTCAGCTATTAACTCTAGTAGTTCTTCTGTAGATTCTTTTGTATTTTCTATATACATAATCATGTTATCTGTGAGTATGACAGTTTTATTTCTCACTTTCTAATCTTTATACCTTTTATTTCTTTTACTTGCCTTATTGCACTGGCCAGCTCCTCCAATATAAAGTTGACAGAAGTGGTTATATAGATCATATTATCTCATTTCAGATCTCACCCTCTGCGTTTTTGATGCCTGTAGTCTTCCCGACTTTCCTGTGAGGGCGCCTGTGTGTTTCAAAGGATTCTGAAGCTGGAAGGTTTTCAGGTTACCTGCTCGGTAGTAATGTCAGCCTTCTTGCTACTTCCCCTGGTTTTATACACTGTGCATCTTCCAGATTCTCCTCCACGTCCTGACAGGTGAGGGGAAGGGAGCTCACACACTATGCACCAACCACGCTCTGTGCACACCACCCATACTATCTCATTCACTTCTCACAGTGACCTGGAGGAAGCCAGTGCGATCATCGCACCTACTTGACAGATACAGAAACTGAGGCTCAAGAGAGAAAATCCTTGGCCCAGGCAGTCTCTGCAAAGAGTCAGGACTAGGATCAGGCCCTTTGCCTGTCCCACCTTAGGCCCCTGGCTCCCTTGACCAACGGAAAGAAAAAACCAAACCCGTTGCCGTCAAGTCGATTCCGACTCATACAGACCCTATAGGACAGAGTAGAACTGCCCCATAGGGTTTCCAAGGAGCGGCTGGTGGATTCGAACTGTTGACCTTTTGGTTAGCAGCCATAGCTCTT